AAATAAATCACTCAGCGTTGGAATTACTTTCTCCTAGTCAAATATAGAGATGATATATGGCCCAATTGTCCTTTAAGATACCTCTGGGCTATGGATCCTCCACAACTTCCTCTCTCAGAATGATCTTGACTAGGAAGTTCATTCATTTCCTACAGTATGAAACTCAAAATACCCGGTATTCTTGTTGCCTTCTTTCAATCATTTTAGCCTTGACTTCCATCCCTATCTCTTGACCTTGTCAAGCTTTCTGTACACTTCCGCCTTTGTGAGTTGAACTTACCCATATTTGTTGTGTACAAAATTTCTGCTTTTGATTATCTATAAGCATAGTTTTCAAGGCACCAAGGTGAGGCTGGGCAATAAGGGGGTGTCTTGTTGCCTAGTCACCTAGGTGGGCACCTAGGCGTTGCCAAGGCAATGGGATTGTTTTGAATATAAACCATGACTCCTAGGGTAATTTCCTAGGTTCCATACTTCCATAGAAAGCAGCAACCATCTTTCACAATTAATTGTCTATAATCTTCATAAAAAAAAAGTATAAATTTCATTTAAAATATAGAAAATCAACATATTCATGAAAACAAAATGGAAGAAAGAAGAAAAACTTCAGAACATAGAGGGACGGAGCCTCTATTTTTGTCCTAGGAAAAGAAAAGCAAAGAAGCAAAGAAATGATGAAGAAGAAAATCTGTATGTGTTAATTGATTGGACAAAATTTTGAGTTCTTCCATGCTTATTAGCTCAGGTTTTGAAGTCTTTGAGGGTTCAAGATAATATACAACTTGATTGAACCCTAACAAATAAGAAAAACAATAAAAAACTAGTATTTTAACTCAAACTGAGTATCCAAGAGCACCGTGCAAAAAAATATCTTAGTGAATAAGTGAGGCAACTCTCCATGAGTACCTTATCACCTAGGCATCACTCTACATGTTAAGCTACCTTGGTATTACTTGATTGTCATAGTTAGGTAGTACATCCCAGAGATAGCCTCTATTTTATATGATAGTGGGCTGTTCTTTTATCATTTGGTGTAGTAATAGTAGACGTGCCTTCACTAGGTTATTTGGTTTTTCATTTGATTGATAGTAGCATGTCTGTGTTTTATTGGATGGTTGCACGAAATTGTTGAGACTATGAGAACTCATGAAAACCAAATCACCCAGGCATGCATTCACTGGGTGATTTGGTTTATCCTTTGACTTAAAGCATTTCTAGGTTTCTTAGAGGCCACAATGTTATGACTATGTGAATTCATTGCTCCACAACTACCTTCATATTTCTTGATATTCCAAGGTAGTCGATCCTAGAGGTAGTCTCCATTTATCATATGATAGTGGGTAATTCATATATCACTTAGGGTAGCAACAACAAGCATGCACTTACTGGGTAATTTTGTCTTTCATTTGATTGGTAGAATATCTATGTTTTATTGGAGGGTTGCAAAAAAGTGTTCTGACCATGTGGACTAACTGAAGCTAAATCACCTAGGCATGCACTCACAAAGCAATTTGGTTTCAAATTTTACTATTAGCATGTTTAGTGAGGGAAAATCCAGGTCCATCAGGTGTAGGAGGGTTTTCAGAGATGAGGATGGGAAGGTGCTCGCTTTGTATTCAGGTCCCATTGGGGTTGGAGACTCTCTTAAAGCTAAGGTCTATGCAGTACTGGAGGGTATAAGGAAGTCTAAGGAACTGAATATACAAAAGTTAGCCATTGAAGGGGAATCAAAACTGATCTTAAGTTTACAAGAAGGTAGTGGACTTTGGAAATTTGCTAACGAGAGGAGGGAGATTAAATGGCTAACTAGAGGACTGGAAATCAAGTTTCAGTGAGTCAAGAGAATAGCAAATGCATTTGCTAATGCTTTGGCGAAGTAGGGGGTAAGGGATCAAATGTTTTGGGCTGTTCTGTAACTTTCTCTTTTTTATTATCTTCCTGGAGAGAGTTAAGCTTGTTTATCTCTCTCCAGAGTGCTCTAACTAAAATTCTTTTAATCTAATGAATTCCAATTATTGATCGAAAAAAATGTTTGTGACTTATTGGAGGGTCACAAAGTAATTTGGTTTTAATTTAATTATTAGCATGTTTGTGACTTATTGGAGTGTCACAAGAAAGTGTTGTGACCATGTGAACTCATCAAAATCAAATCACCGTAAATCGGGTCATGCCGCCCGCGGCTCGGCACAATTTTGAGCCGGCCCGACCCAAGCCTAGCACAATGGTTAGGTCGTGCCAGGCATGACACGATTGTATAGGTCGTGCCAAGCTTGGGGTTTCAAGTCCGCGGGCCGGCGGCACCATATATATTTATATATATTTTATTACTATAGTTATATATATTATACATAATATATAAATTATAATTATATAATAATATATAGTATATAATATATTAATAAAATAAACAATTGTTTTCAATTTTATGATACTATTTTAATTAATTATTGTATATATAAACAATTGCATACATCATAATTCATATAAAATAAAAACTTTAAGATTTTTTTCAATTTTTTTAAATAAATAGCTTTGGCCCAATCCACGAACCAGCCTAGCCTGTGGCAAGGCACGGGCCCGTGCGGGCTTAGGCCGTTGGCCGTGCCAACCCCCAAAATATCCTAGGGGAGGGGTGGCACAGCCCAGAACAGCACGCAGGCCGTGTCGTGCTGGGTTCCAGCATGGCCTGTTTTACAGCTCTATGCACTCATTGTCCCAAGGCCCCTTTACTTACAAATGAACTTCTTTACTTTTCTTATTCAGTTTCTTCATTTTCTTAACCTTCTTGATGGGACCAACCCCAAATAAGCCCCCCAACCTGGTGAAAATCATCAACACCTGAACCATCCTGTTATTCTTTTGAGTTCTGAACCATCTTACTGCATTAGGCAACCAACTTTTGAAGAACCTTTGGCTCATTGGTTTATCAACAAACCCCAGCACTACATTCTTGTCAAAAAATCTTTCTACTGCCGACTTACCACCCTTTCTTTGTACCTAAACCTTTGAAGTCCATAGGATCCCACCCCCTCTTGATTGTCATCACAGACTACCAAATCACCACACGCTCTAGGAGACAATTTATCCTTTCCTTTGTCCCTCAGCTACCTCTTAGACTTCTCTTCCAACTTCCTATAGGCTTTTCTTGCAAAATCCTCTCCTCCTAAGAAAGACAAACCCAAAATCTTGCTCACCTCTACCTCTGTATTCACCATGTTTCCAGATCAATTGCTCTTTCTACTTCATATGTTTCATCAAAAAAAAAAGGCATCCCAGTATGGTAAAACATGCATTCCTATAAAAAATACACATTTTCATGTGGACAAATGTTTTCTAGTTGCTATTGGTGCCTACTAAATAACCATTAGACAGTGGATCTTCAAGAACACATTGCAAACATAAGTAATCCTATCTGATATTGAGAATCCAAATCATGTTTGGATCAACAGTTAACAGATATTTGATATGCATGATAACAGAAAAGCTTTGTGGATTAAAAATTAATTGATCAAATCCAAATTTCATCSTCAAATTTAACACGTTAGGAAATATAGATTTATGACAACAAAAGAGAAAAAAGGGCAACAATTAAGAGTAAATTCCCGGACCTCTACTCCTTATCAAACCATAAAACAAACTTGTTGCTAGGTTTGGTTTGCTTTCAGATTTGGGTATCTCTTGGAATTTTGGATTCAGAAGAGGGTTGAGGGAAAATGAATGTGAGTCTCTAGTACTTTTGATCTCAACACTTGAGAGGGTCTACTTGGACCAATGTCACCAATCTATAGCTGATAGTAGAGTTTGGTTCCAAACTCCTGATGGTTTATTTTCCTGTGCATCTTTCTTTGGTTTGCTCACTCACACTAATCCTATGAGGGTGAACTTCCCAGTGAGAGAAATCTGGTATAAACCGACCCCTCCAAAAGTACAAGCTTTCTGTTGGGACTTGGGAAGTGTTCCTAGGGAAGGTAAACACTTGTGATGTGCTACAGAAAAGGAGGCCAAACAATTGCCTCTCTCCTCGTGTGTGTCCTTTGTATGGATTGTGGTGAAACCCTAACCCACTTACTTTTATCCTGCTATTTTGTTTCTGGTATTTGGAATGTTGTTTGTTCTCTCTTTGGATGCAAATGGGCTCCCCCACAGGACGTAGTAAGTCTTTTCAGCCCCTCCTTCCTGAGACAACAGAAGAAAAGAGGAAAGTGCTTATGGAAGGCAGCAAGAGCGGCTACAGTATGGACTATATGGGAGGAAAGAAACCTAAGAATTTTTTTTGGAAAAAGTAAATCAAAGGAGGAAGTAATTGAAGCCATAAAAATCAGAACTGTACATTGGGTGAAGACCATGGAGCTATTCAAAAATTACACCATTAATGAGATTCTAAGAAGGTGGGCTGAAGTAGCACAAACAGATGCACCCAAAGTAACTGTGAGTGTGGAATGGAAGCCACCAGCACTGAACAAACTAAAACTAAACTTTGATGGGAGTTCTTTTGGCAACCCAGGAAGGGCAGGCATAGGGGGTGTGTTTAGAAATCATCTGGGTGTGGTGGTAGCACTCTTCTCAGGACCAATAGGCATTGGTGACTCAATACAGGCTGAATCTCTAGCCCTACTTCAAGGTCTAAAGATGGCTGAGAAGATGAGAACAATAGACTTAGAAATAGAAGGAGACTCACTACAAGTCATTTCTTGGGCTAAAAACATCACATCAGTACCTTGGAAGCTCAAATTTATCTTCAGAGAAATTGGCATACTTGTAAGGAGGACCAACTCTCAGTTTGGTTGGGTCAAACGGAATGCAAAYGGGATGGCGGATACCCTAGCAAAACAAGGGGCAAATAGATCTTCATTGTACTGGGCAGAATTGTAGCTGATTGCAAGTGGTTGCAGATTAGATTAATGCTTCTCTGCAACCTTTAACTATTGTAACTGATTTTCTCTGTTACTAATCAAAAAATTTCTTGCTGATCAAAAAAAAAAAAAAAGAATCTGTCTTACCAGCTTTCTTGGCTGCACGGAATAGGAGCTCCTCAATTAAATGTTGTGCAGGATCCCCATCTGGAAACTTCTCCATGAAACTCTCAACATGAGAAACCACTTCCCGATTGGTTAAGTACTGGTATAGACCATCAGATGAGAGGACTAAGAATTGATCACTAGGTCCAAGCTTATGGTGACGAAGAGAAGGCGAACATGATATGTATGGAGCAGTACCAATGTACTCATTCCGGAACACTTCCAGCAATGCATTATTCCATTTTGGCTGCAGTAGCATATAGTTATAATAAAAGTATCAAAGGAAAAACTAATGGTAAAATCAAAAAAAAAAAAAAAACTGTGAATAACTTGATAACAATTAAGATCTCCATCCAATGCTGCAATGATAGTCCATGCATGGCTTTTTCAGGCTCATATGTGACATGTTGAGGTGATATCATATAACCCTAACCAAACATCTAGGCTATTATTCAAAATTTCTGGCAAAACATGGTGGATGGTGTGGAGGAAAAGAAATAGATATTTAGGACCATTTAATCAGACAAATTTTGACCAATCTAGATACCCCAGCCCAAATAGAATCGGTTGTCTCAAAGATTCTGCATGCCATCATATATTCAGAGTGACTCAGTAAGCAGACTATGTTTCCTATCCATCTGGCTCAAAAATTAGATTTCCTCTGAATAAAAATGGCATCAGTAAAATCAAGCAAGTTATTGACAGAACATGCCTTTATATTAACATGAAATACAACACCATGTAGGTTGCATCATTTTGATCATGAAATACAACACCACTATGATGGTGGATCAATTTTCCCATTTCCCCTTTTGATCTTTCTGCCTGAATCTTGAAATGAAGAAGAAAAACTGAGCAACTAAACAATAATAATACTAAATGAGTGAACCTGTTTAAGAAATCCAGCCCCAAATGCTCGAGTGACCTTAAGACGACCCTTCACTCTATCATTGACAATACATTGGTTGTCATCTGGGTGTTCTGCCTTGATTCTTAGGACTTCCTGCAGAAGTTAACATACATCAATCAAACAATGACAAACAAACCTTTTGGATCTCTCAGTTGATGTGCATCCACAAAAAACCAGGGAAAGGAAAAACCACAAAAGACGGTGTCCATTCTTGGCATAACAGAGATACCAATTCCAATACATTTTAACAATGTCAACAAAGCTTTCCAGCAACATTATAATTTAATTGGTGGATTTGCATAGGCAAATATTAGAATCCTGCTATCACACAAGAAGCGTTTTATTGGTAAATTAAAACAGGTACAGAGGGGTGGACTGGATAGAGACCTAAGCTTTGGCGTTTTTCAGCACAAAGTGGACACTCTCGGACTGGAACCTGCATTCTCATGCTTTTCAGCACAAGACTATCAATGCACCAAGCAATGTCCCCTTACAGATGAATAGCACCAGATTGCAATTCAAATCTTAAAAAAAAAAAAAAGCAAAGAAAACCTAGTGAAAGATCTGTAGGAAAAGTTATGATATTCTGACTCAAAATTAAACCCTAGATGTTTTAAGAAGGGAGGACCTAGTATTCTAAGAAATTCTTGAAAGTTCAACAATAAAGGGAATGGTCTCTTTCCGATTTAGTCTTCAACATGAGTACTGCATAAACACAGATATATAACTAAGGAGAAACAAGCCAGTTAAGAAAATTAAGTACGATAAAAATCTAGAAATTGCATATATATTCCAAGAGTTTGGGCATTTTCAAGGTACAGAGAAGGCAATTCAATGTTCCTATGCAAGGGATAACATATGATTACATTATTCGCGGCAGAATTTGGCTTAACTGTAGTACATTATTTTTTTATCAAGGTAGTGTAAAATATTGAGACTAAAAGTTGTGTGTCAACACATACTGCAATGCTAGCATGAACCAGTGATGCACCATTTAACTAATTAAAAAAAAATGATGGTGTCCAGTCACTTAAGTCCAAAGGGAAGATAAATTTGTATATTAACAAAAAAAAGGAAGATAAATTTGGACCATGTAGATTGTCTTGAAACCCTCCTAAAACTTCTACATCATCATCTCTATATGGAAAAAATTAGGTCTCTACCAAACAAAAGATCATCTTAGGTATGAACCAGAAAAACTAAGTAAATATGTAGTTTAATTTAGCGTAGGTACTGATCACATATTCCCAGGGAATAGTTCCTTGCCTAGACAGCCTTCGATGGCTGACTGGACTAAAATCAGGCAGGATGTTAGTCATGATTCTGCAAAAAGCGAGCATATCAGAGTCAACTTAGTTGTTAAATGGTTGATTTGTGTATAATTCAGTCGGTGAATAATGTCCAAGCACAAAAATAAGAATGGACATTAAACTTAGTTTAAATCTTACTTCTTCAATGCTTGTACTGTGATCAGTGGAGAGCTGCAGCGCAATCAACCTCATTTCTTGAGGAGGAGGCTCAGGTGTTTCATTGCCCACCTTATTTCCCGTGCTACCAGTGGCACTGGTCTCTTCAACAATACCCTCCATTTCTACTACCCCATTCCCGTGTGCCTTTGGCTCCATACTAGAATTGATTTCTTGAGGTTGATATTGAGCAACAATAGCACGACTATCACCCACATTCATCACATACACATCCTCATCTCTCATTAGCACAACCAACAAACAGGAGCCCATCAGTGCTAGCTCTGGATTCCCATCAAGAACCTTGTCTGTCATTTCCAAGTATGCAAATTCAGTAATTTCAAGAGCCCGGGAAAGAGCCCTTAAGACCAACTCATGATCTATTGGCCCCACCCTACGTTTCCTAAAGCTCCGAGAGGATCTATCCTCGACTTTGTTTTCAGATTCAGTTTTCTCTTTATCCTCCCAATCATATTTCCATGGGAACAACTTCTTGCTATGACCCTCCTTGTTCTTGGAAAATCCGTATTTCAGTTTTGACAATAGCAGTGATCGTATCCTCACTGAAGATCCAGCATTACTAACACGAAGGGCATCATCAACAGAGAAAGCAAACCGATCTGAACCTGAAAGATCGAGTCCATCATCTGCCTCAGCTTCTGCAAGAAACTCCCAAAGAGGCTTCCTTCTTAATACAGTCTGCTCTAATTGAAATGTTACTCTCTTCACTGACCCGCTATTCAAAGATGAACTATTCAAATCTCTGTCAGACTCCAACACTTCCTCATCCCTGGGTACTGCTTGGCCACATTTCTCCTGACTCACTTCTTCATCCTTCGTCATCCCGTCGTCGCAGTTCTTCGGACACATTTCCTCATCCTTTTCCGTCCCTTTGGCACATTTCTTGTTAGCTACTCCTTCATCCTTTGCTGGCTCTAAGTCTAAGGTAGAGTTCTCCTGAAACGAGTCATTTCCTTCAGCACCAACTACATTCCCTAAATTACAATTCGCACTTTCTTGCTCAATAACTACTGAAGAATCTTTCTCAGCATCCCAAAACAATCCCTCGAGCTCATTATAAACAGCACGATAGAGATTACTCATCAAGAATTCCGGTGCATCTGGGCCATTGAAACCATCATAAATGCCGACGAAGAGCCAACCGTGTTCTTCAGACACGACGACGTGAACCCGATCCTCCCCGGCTTTTCCATGGGCCCACTGAACGTTGCTCTCATTTTTTGCTTCCGCTTCACCTCCATATCCAGTCGGACCTTCTTTCCGGCCGACGAAATTAAGAACCGGTACAACCCAGGGCCGCTTCTTCTCGGAGAAACCTCGGTAAAACGCCTTCCGAATTCCAGAAATCCCTTTCTTCCTCTTCTTTTTTACGTAAAAACCACCAAGCGGGGCCGAAAAAGGAACTCTTCCCCCATCAGAAGCGGTATTCACATCGAGCGGCCCGGATAGCGCACCCCGCTCGATCGGTCCCGAGATGAAGAACCCCCGCTCAATCGGACCCGGCGCATCGCCGGCGCGTGGAATTGGCTGCAGCGGCAGAGCACTGAAAGACGAGGTGCTCTCGAAGCCATTGACGACACTCGACTTAGGAACACCAGCGCATTCAGTGGCATCATCGTAAATAACGTCATGCTGGATGACAGTCCTGGGAGTCGAAGTATTAGCACTGACCGAAGCGCCGGAAATAGCCTTGAAAGCGGTTTCGGGCAAACTGGACCTGGTTTTCAGGGCGGGTTCGTGAGAAGGAGAGAACCGGAGAGACTGAGAGGGGGAGATGCGGTCGGAGTGGGACGGGGAGATGAAGCGAGCGGAGGAACGGACGTAGCAGAAGGAATGGCCTAGGGTTTCATCCAAAGGCTCAGTGGCCGTGAATATCAAATCCGGTTGGTGGTTTTGGTTGGCCGGTTTCAAGCACGGGAAGAGCCGGGAGAAACCGCCTCCCATCACATTTGACTGGATTCCTGGTTTTGCAGGTTCCTTCAGAGATCACCGACCGGTTCCGCGGCAAGAAAACAAATAAGAACAGAGAGCGAGGGAGATTTGCCTGTTTTTTGCTTAATTCTTTAATCATAAATTCTTTTCTTCGGGGAGGTGCGGTGAAGAAAATAGAGTATAGAGAGAAGACTTACTGTACAAGAGTAGACTGCATTTGGGGGAGAAAGAGAAAGAGAGAAGAGAGAGAAACACTCTTTTGTCTTCTCCTTTTCTCTTCGTCTACTTTGACGGTCACATCTGGCGTTACTTTCAGGCTGAGATTTTGTAAGAAGGTGTCCATGTCATCGGCTAGTTAGGATTTTCTCGACACGTGGTCTGTCCAAGTCATCGAATCTACGCTTTTTCCCTCCTCGGTTTTTCTTGAATATTTTGACCCTTGAAGTCGTTTTTCAACGTTTGACCCTGAAATTTTTAATTTGACGAATATGTCCCCCTGATTTATATTTTATTTTTATAAAGAAAGAAGTTAGGTCAACGTGGAGGATGGGATGGGACATTGTCTACATTGTACCATCGTAATATTCCCTCCCTTTTAAGATACTAGTTTCGAGTTCTGGACCTACTTTTTGAAAGCCCAAGACTATATAATTCTCCATGTTTTAACATTTTTACCCTTTACCGTGATTAGAAGAAAGCAATCTTAAAGTTGGGTATTTTCGTAATATACGAAGGTCAGTTGGCAATTTGACCCGTACCAGGGTGTGTTTTTTGACCACTTATCGGGGTTCTGGGCGGGTTCGAGGAAAACCCAAAACTCGGGTTTGGGATGTGGCGGGAACGGTATTTGTTCACCCCAACCTCAATCCCACTCTCACTATAGTATATAACATAATATATATATATACGCTAATATATATTATACTATTATATAAAATAATTGTAGGTAGGTTTTAAAGAAATAAATTAATAAATATACAAGTAAAAATGACTAGGATGGGGCAAAGTCAGGCGTGGGGATAAGAATGGGTTAGGATTTTTAGCCTCATTGGGGTTTGGGGCGGGGAATTTGAATCCAGGGTCAAGTGAAAGGGGGGACATGGATTTTAGTGTCTACGTCAAGTGCACGTAAGGGATGAAGGTGATAAATGAAGGATTATACGACTAAAATACAATGAGTACGATGACCAAAATAAAGTGATAAATGACTTTACGATGGATAGCTAGTTTAGGGGGGATAAAGTGATAGATGACTTTATAATGACCAAAATACCCTTCCTAACAATTAAAAAATTGCTAGTTTTTAGGGTATTTTGGTAATTGAATTATTTTTAATTCTTATAAATAGCCCAATTCTCCACATTTCTCATCACACCAATTTGACAATTCTATTTTCATACTCTCTCTCTTGGACTCACATACACTTTAATACTCTCATTACTCTCTCTACTCTCCAATTCTCAAGTCTTAACTTTTTTTCAAAATTCAACAAGAAGGCTTGCTCATGTATCTCAAGTTAGCAATTTGAGAGGCTTTGAGGCTTCAGCCATTGAAATCAAGTTAAGATTCTGAATCAGTAATTCGAGTGAGTGTAATTAAATTAATTTTATATTTTTTGAATTTAAAAAAAAAAGGTTGGCTCCTCCCAAAACCAATTCCCCAGCATGTTCAATGCTGACGATATTTAGTCGTAACATGATAACGTTAGCATTGATATGGATGCTACTAAAATTGATAAAGTTCCCATTCCAAGTACTGGTACTGTTGCTGGGGTTATGAAAAAGAAGGGAACTAAATTGACTAGCCCGATTTGAAAATTATTTAAAATAGAGGAGGTTGAGGGGAAGGGAAAAAAAGTTGTTTGCCAAAAATGTATGAGCGACTTTAGTTATATCAATGGTGGTACTAGCCACTTGGGCAGACATTTGCTCACCCATGAGAAATAAGAAGAAGATGGAAAAGAAAATTCTCAAACACAAATTGAAAGGGTTTTGGTACTTTTAAATATTTGCAAGAAAAAGTGAGTCAAGAGTTGGCAAAATATATTGTACATGCTGAACAAACGTTTTTATTAGTTGAGGATAATAAACTTAAAAAATTTTTACGTAATTTTGTAAATCCTCAATTAAAAAAAAAAAACTTCTAGAAATGTTCTTAGAGCATATGCTCTGAAAATTTTTTATTCATATAAAGAAAATTTAATTTATATTTTATCAAATCTTAATTCCAGAGTTGCAATTATTTCTAATATTTGGACCTCTAAATTTAATATAAGTTATATTTGTGTTACCGTTCATTTTATTGGTAAAAATTGGCTTTTACAAAAAATAATTTTAAGTTTTACTAAGCTTGAACGGCCACATACTAGCCCAGCTATTGCTGCAAATATTTTAAATACTTTACATGCTTATGGAATTAATTGGCAATAAACTTTTTTGGGAAAATTGCCGATTAATACCCTATACTTTGGGCCTAGTGCCACTTTGGTCCCCAAACATTAAAATCTGATAGTACCCAAACTTTTAAAACGTGACAATCCAATACCTGTCGTTAACTAGCTGTTAACCAGTTGTTAAGTGACATTTGAAAAATACATAAATGTCCTTCAAGTATCATCTAATTTTCTTTATCAACCATCCAAACATTGACAAAAAATTAATAGTTTCAAATCCTTGCCTCTTCTGTTTAAGAAAGTTGGGGTCACCAGAATGCCCACTCAAATGTGACCCCAACTTTCTTGAATAGAAAAGGCAAGGATTTGAGACTATTAATTTTTCGCCATGTTTGGGTGGTTGATAAAGAAAATAAGATGACATTCGAAAGGCATTTATGTCTTTTTCAAATGTCTCTTAACGGTTGGTTAACAGCTAGTTAATGACAAGTACTGGATTGTCACGTTTTAAAAGTTTAGGTACTGAATTGTTACATTTTAAAGTTCGGGGACCAAAGTGGCACTAGGCCCAAAAAATTGTATTATATATGTTAAAAGTTTTGGAGAAATAAAACAAGAATTTAAATATTTATGTCATAATTATGGTTTAAAATCTAAACATTTTATGTTAGATGTTCAACATAGATGGAATTTTACCTATTTTATGTTAAAAAGTTAGGTTTCCTACAAACAATTTCTACTGATTTTGATAATGCAAAAATGCCACAATATATTATTTTTTAGGAAGATTGGGAAATGGAAATTTGTATAAGAGATTTTTTACACAATTTTTATGATGCAATTAAGGAATTCCCAGGTGTTTATTAGCAACCAGTTGTCTTTTAGTTAACCAATTATTCGTGATTAGTGAATGTTTTGCAAAATATAGAAAAATTTCACAAATTAAAAGTATTGTTGAAATAACGAAAAAAATAAATTTAAAAAATACTGGGAGAACATTTCTCCTCTTTATTGTTTAGTTGCAATATTAGATCTTATGAATATGAAAGATGGTGTAGATATTTTACTTGAATCATATTGTGAAAATATGAATATTGAAATTGAAAAATAAAAGAATAAATTAATATTTTATTATTTGAATCATATAGCTTATATGAATCTCATATGGTAGGGCATAAAAAATCTATGACGTGTACAAGTGCATTTTCATTTCTAAAACAACTAGTTCCAATAGTTAAAAGATAGAGTTTGGTCTTTACAAAGTATGAGACATGATGATGCGCAATCCGGCCGGTCTTAGCTGTCAACAACCTTACCTCTGAGCTGAGTAGTGGGGAACCTAAAACGGAGGGGATGAGGAAGCTCCGGGGAGAACCCGGTGTAAAGGCTCCGAAGCTTAAGTTAGAATCCTTCAAAGGCAAGATAAAACCAGATAGCGCAAAGTTTGCATACCTCCTCTTTGGGGGAGTGGAGAGCCTTTTATAAC